TCCAGTTCAGGACCCCAGACTCCGGTTCTCCGGATCACTTCTCCGGCTCCCATCCTTGAAGCACAGAGAACTGATTTGTCCCCTCAAGAAGGGGATCCGTGGAAATCCGGGCCCGGAAATCCGGAATCCGGGCACAGGAATCCGAAAAAACATGATTACTGGGTCCAAACTCTTGGGTACGGATTCCGGATTGCTGGGCCTGCGGATACCCAACACTGTGAGCATTATATGTGTCTGGAGACTGATATACATCTCTCTGAAACAGTTGGAATTAAGCTCTGGAATTCAAATTGTATATTTTGGAGGTAATTTATGAAAAAATTGGGAGAATACCAAAAATTAAAAAAAAATATAAAAAAAATTTTTTTTTTACAAAAATTTAAATTTGTAATATTTTTTCAGGAGCACTGTCTTTCGGACATTGAAACAGTGTACGATCTACACAAGATTCTTTCAGAAAACGTTGCTGATTTGCCATCACCTTTGATGGTTCTACTTTTTGAAAAAGTTATGACCTTTTTTTGAGGAAATAAATTGTTTTGAATTTTTGATTTTGTTTTGGATTTTCAGATTTTAAAGATTTTTAATTTAGAAGATGTCCGAAGCCATCAAATTTAGCATTAAAAATTGCAATTTCGGGAAATTCAGAAATTCAGAAATTTTTTTTTCAGAATTTCTGAATTTCTGACTCTCTGACTTTGAGACTGTCTGAATCTCTGAACTTGTGCATTTCAGAATGTCTGAATGTCTGCACTTCTGAATTTATGACACTTCTGAATGTCTGAATGTCTTTCAAAAAATGTTCAGAAAAAAAAATTCGGATATCCAGAATTGCAGAAATTCAGAAATTCGGAAATTCGGAAATTCAGAAAATCGAAAATTCAGAATTGCAGAAATTCAGAAATTCAGAAAGTCAGAAATTCAGAAATTCAGAAATTTAGATATTCTGAAATTATTCAAAATTGCATTTTCAAAATTTATATTTTTATGATGTATGTAGCGTGCCGTTTCACCCACTCAAACTTAACGATTGAGCTGACTAGCGTCCTCGGCCTACGGCCGACTAGGCGCGGTTATGCCGCGCTCAGTGGAATCAGTTGATTTATATTTTAGTCTGTTCTCCCTTCGCTCGCTCCGCTCGCTCAGGTCGAACAGACCGGAGCCCCAAAACAATTCATCAATTTTTCACTCAAAACCTATTAACTCTTTTAATTTTCAAGCAAATCCAGTTTTCTTTTTTTTAATTGTAGCCATCAAAATTACGCATTGAATGGGAAAGCCGGATTTTTGATTTAGGCCCTAGTTCGGCAGAAAAAACAGGAAAATCCGAAAAAAATGGTATCCACTTGTACGTTCGTTATCATATCTCGGTTCAAAAAATACAACTTTTGACGATTTTTTGTGGCCGCGTAGCCAGAGAGATTTGCTATCGATCAAAAAAAGATTTGGCCAAAACGGACTGAAATGAACCTAGTTAGGAGCTTTTAAAGAAAATTTCTACAAAATGTCAAAAATGGGGGTGCGCGATCGCTACGGTATTTAAGGGAAGAAGGGGGCGGATTAAGGGAGAGGAAGGCGGAAACCTGGACAGATAGATCAGAATTGTGTCTTAGTTTAGGCGTTTAGGCTCGAAATTTTCTAATTTTGAAATTGTGATTTTGAAGTCTTCTGGAGACGTTCCTTGCTTTCACCACAGTAAAGCGTGGTGGGCACAGGGGGTGAGGGAGGAAGGGGAGAGGGAGGAAAGCCCACACACGTGTATACCATGAGAAACCCACGACCCAAGATGACCTCAAGGAGATAAGATCACTATAAAGGAAGAGGAATGTAGAGGGAAGAATCAGTTCGCCCTTCTCGGGGCTCCCGAGAGGGGACCGGAGAAGAGATCCGGATTCCTGTGTCCGGATTCCGGTTTTCCGGGTCTGGATTCCAGGTTCCAGATTACGGATTCATTTACCCGGATTCCGGATTCCGGACCTAGGAATCCGGAATCCGTACCCAAGAGTTTGGACCCAGTAATCCTGTTTTTTCGGATTCCTGTGCCCGGATTCCGGATTTCCGGGCCCGGATTTCCACGGATCCCCTTCTTGAGGGGACAAATCAGTTCTCTGTGCTTCAAGGATGGGAGCCGGAGAAGTGATCCGGAGAACCGGAGTCTGGGGTCCTGAACTGGATCCCGGACCGAAATTCCGGNCCAGAAGTTCCGGNCCCGGAATCCCGGATNCCTTCTCCGGCTCCTCTTCCCTGGAACCCAGAGAAGGTAAGAACTGATTGATTTTTTCTATTTTCCTCTTCCTTTATTGTGCTCTGCCAGAGGTCAATCGTTTCTAAACCAATCCACCTAGCCAAAGTGGAAAAACTTTTCTATAAGGTTACACGCATTGTAAGCGGAGCCCAGGAGGTTTAGCCCCGGAGAGGGCGTAAGCCGACTGGTTTTCTGAAATTTATGCTTTTCAGATTATGTAGAAATCTGAAATTCTAGTTTCTTGCACTTTTTTAATTTTTTGATACGGGGAAAAAATAAAAACATCACTGTAATCAGCATGTTCGCAAGTACCATGGACCAAAGTTTCAAGAAATTCTCAACGCCTGTCTGAAAACACTTCCCTTGTGAGATCTGAGATTCTGAGTTTCTGAGATTCTGAGATTCTGAGATTCTGAGATTCTGAGATTCTGAGATTCTGAGATTCTAAGATTCTGAGATTCTGAGATTCTCAGATTCTGCAATTTAATAATTCAGAAATTTTGGAAAATCTGAAATTTTAGAAATCCTGAAATTCTGTAATTCTGGATTTCTAAATTTCTGAATTTCCGAATTTCTGAATTTCTGAAATTCCGGAAATTTAGAATATTGGAAATTCAGGAACTCAGAAATTCAGAAAATCAGAAGTTCAAAGATTCAGAGATTCTGAAATTCTGAAGTTCTTAAGTTTCGATATTCTGAAATTCTGAAATTCTGAAACTTTGAAGTTTTGAAACTTTGAAATTCTGAAATTCAAAATAATTTATTTCTCTAAATTCAAAATTTCCAATTTAAATTTTCCAGCCAATTCCCAAATTTTCGAATTCTCCATATCAGTTTCCTCGGATCTCAAATACTTTTCACATTTTCGGGTTACTGTAGAAGCTCCGAATTTTTCCGCCAATTCCAATAACTGAATTACTATATCATCTGAAATTTTCGATTACTGTAGTTTGGTTTTTGGGTTACTGTAGCTCCTTCCTACCATCAATCGATAATTCTCCGTAGAGGACCTCTAGGAACACTTGAAAATCATTGGCATCTATATTTTCTAGTGGGAATTCTGGAATTCCAGAATTTCCGGAATTTTCAGAAAATTCTAGAGAATTGAAAATTGTAGTTTGAGCAGTCAGGAACTGAAAATTTTGAAAAATTCTGACTCCGCCCCTTTTTTAAGCCCCGCCCACTTACCAATTTCGAAACAAAAAACTGCTCTCCATCGACTTTTAAAATGACATCCGACACATTTTTCATTGTTTCCTCATCAAATTTTCGAAATCTTTTTTTTGAAAATCCAAAAACTTTCAAAATTTCCACATGGCATTTTACAGTAATCCAATCATCATTAGATGAGCAATCAAGAGTGCTCCCATCGAAACGAATCGATGGATTACTGTACTTTTGAATTGAGAAATCAGATTTTTCGATTAACTTTTTTTCTCCAAATTTTGAAATTATCTCCCATTGGATTACTGTATCTATGGACCATTTTAAGTAGGTTGGATCAACGAAACAATCCAATTCTATTGAGAATTTTGGATTTTCTAGGCTTTCCGGCTGAATTCGGAGTCTCCTAAAATATAATTTTTTGGAAATTTTTAAAAAATTTAATTGTCCAATTATCCAATTAAAATTCAATTACCATGAAATATCAAAATGCTCATTTCCCTGTCCATTTTGTGCTCCTCCATTGAGCACATTTTCGAATTTTTGAGAAATTACAAATTTCTGTTTATTTGTTTCGTCCATCTGGAATTTTTTATTGGTTATTGGGGGTAATTAGGGTAATTAAGTCTGTTAATTAGTTTTTAGATGTCAGAAATTTAGATATTCTGAAATTCAGAAGTTCAGCCAAATTTTGATAAGAAAAAAAATTATCAATTATCAAAAAATTAGAATACGCCCTTCCTTTAAATACTGCCTTCTTCTCGCCTCTCCGCCTTCTTCTCGCCACTCCGCCTTCTTCTCGCCACTTCGCCTTCTTCTCGCCACTCCGCCTTCTTCTCGCCTCTCGCCTTCTTCTCGCCTCTCCGCCTTCTTCTCGCCTCTCCGCCTTCTTCTCGCCTCTCCGCCTTCTTCTCGCCACTCCGCCTTCTTCTCGCCTCTCCGCCTTCTTCTCGCCTCTCCGCCTTCTTCTCGCCTCTCCGTCTTCTTCTCGCCTCTCCGCCTTCTTCTCGCCTCTCCGCCTTCTTCTCGCCACTTCGCCTTCTTCTCGCCACTCCGCCTTCTTCTCGCCTCTCCGCCTTCTTCTCGCCTCTCCGCCTTCTTCTCGCCACTTCGCCTTCTTCTCGCCACTCCGCCTTCTTCTCGCCTCTCCGCCTTCTTCTCGCCTCTCCGCCTTCTTCTCGCCTCTCCGCCTTCTTCTCGCCTCTCCGCCTTCTTCTCGCCTCTCCGCCTTCTTCTCGCCACTCCGCCTTCTTCTCGCCTCTCCGTCTTCTTCTCGCCTCTCCGCCTTCTTCTCGCCACTCCGCCTTCTTCTCGCCTCTCCGCCTTCTTCTCGCCTCTCCGCCTTCTTCTCGCCTCTCCGCCTTCTTCTCGCCACTCCGCCTTCTTCTCGCCTCTCCGTCTTCTTCTCGCCTCTCCGCCTTCTTCTCGCCACTCCGCCTTCTTCTCGCCACTCCGCCTTCTTCTCGCCTTGCTCTAAAACTAGAATCTCCCTTAAGATTTTTCTCTAAGTGTATTTTCCAGCGTTGTAATATCCAGTACAGCTCCTATTCTGATCGTCTCTCTATCCTCAATATGTTCTCTATTCGACATCGTAGGCTAAAAGCTCAACTAATTCTTCTCTATAAATTGTTAAATGGCTCCGCCTACTTTCCTTAAGGTATTTGACTACAAAAATATTCTGTACTATCAAAAAAAAATTTCTTCCGAAAAATTCCAGAAAACAGAGAGACAAAGTTCTGAAAATTCTGAAATTTTGGGTGTGGGCACACCCAAATTATCAGTAATTTTATGAATTTGTGTATGTTTTCTGATTAACTGATAAGACAAAAGGATGAAAAATAGAAAAAAAATCGGAAATGGCAAAAAAAAAATTATATAGAAGTGAGCAATTTTATACTCTAATTTTTGAATTTTGAGAATTTTAGAATTCCAGAATTTCTGAATTTTGAAGTACTTTTTCTCTGATGAGCAAATTTTCAGTCAAATTGCGGTTGATGGTAACTGATAAAAAGTCAAATTTGTGGTTTTGTGCGTTATCACGGTAGTTTTAGAGTTTCCGATTTTTCGAATTTCAGAATTTCCGGATTTTGAGGAAATTCCGAATTTTATAATTTTTGGACCCAGGATCCAGGACCCAGGACCCAGGACCCAGGACCCAGGGTTTGCGAATTTCCGAGTTTCGTATTTTCAAAGTTTCAGAATTTCCGGGTTATCAGAATTTTGGTTTTTCGAGTCTTTTCGAATTTTTCAAATTTCCAAACTTTTCCAATGAGCAAAATTTCAGAAATTCAAAAATTCAGAAATTCAGAAATTCAGAAATTCAGAAATTCAGAAATTCAGAAATTCAGAAATTCAGAAATTCAGAAATTCAGAAATTCAGAAATTCGGGAATTCGGAAATTTAGAAATTCAAAAATTCAGAAATTCAAAAATTCAGAAATTCAGAAATTCAGAAATTCAGAAATTCAGAAATTCAGAAATTCAGAAATTCAGAAATTCAGAAATTCGGGAATTCGGAAATTTAGAAATTCAAAAATTCAGAAATTCAGAAATTCAGAAATTCAGAAATTCAGAAATTCAGAAATTCAGAAATTCAGAAATTCAGAAATTCAGAAATTCAGAAATTCAGAAATTCAGAAATTCAGAAATTCAGAAATTCAGAAATTCAGAAATTCAGAAATTCAGAAATTCGGGAATTCGGAAATTTAGAAATTCGGGAATTCGGAAATTTAGAAATTCGGGAATTCGGAAATTTAGAAATTCAGAAATTCAGAAATTCAGAAATTCAGAAATTCAGAAATTCGGGAATTCGGAAATTTAGAAATTCAAAAATTCAGAAATTCAGAAATTCAGAAATTCAGAAATTCAGAAATTCAGAAATTCAGAAATTCAGAAATTCAGAAGAGATATAGTGGTCCAGAAAGAGATATAGTGGTCCAGATTTATTAATTATCATTATTATCATTAAATTCAATTTTCAAAAAGAATAAGGGACCACTTTTAGGAGAATGATGAACTGAGTGGGGCGGACACATTATTATAACCTGTTAAATCGATAAAATCGATAAAAATTGAAATTATTGAATATTAAAAGTTTTAGAAAAAAAAACACCCGAAAAGGTAGTAAAATGGGGATGAAATGGAAAAGACTTGGAGAGAGGTAGGAACGGGGAGAAAGACAAGTGAACAAGATTACTTTAGGAAATGGGGAGTACTGTAGGGGAAACATTTTCCGACTACTGTAGGGATACTGCAGAGGGATAATGTATTTATGCCAAATAGTCATAAAGATCTCGTTGGTCCTCATTCCGCTTCAAATACTCCTTCTCGATGAGTGAGCCAATACACTTTTTGATGAGCTCCACCTTTGGCTTGAACCGAGTCGACAGCTGCTCAATGAGCTCAACCATGAGCTTCTGGTGGGAGCACTGCTTGCGGGTCTTCATGATTCGGACGATGGCGGCCTGAAAAATTCAAAAATTGGGATGAACAATTTTTTAAAAATTGAATTTTTTATTTCAAAATTTCAAAAATTAAATATTTCAGAAATTCAAAAATTCAGAAATTCTAAAATACTGAAATTCCAAAATTTAGAAATTCAGAAATTCCGAAATTCTGAAATTCGAAAATTCAGAAATTCTAAAATCCTGAAATTCCAAAATTTAGAAATTCAGAAATTCCGAAATTCTGAAATTCGAAAATTTAAAAATTCCGAAATTCTAAAATTCTAAAATTCCAAAATTCAGAACTTCTAAAATTCTAAAATTCCAAAATTCAGAAAGTCAGAAATCCGAAATTTCAGAAATTCTAAAATTCTGAAATTCTAAAATTGTGAAATTCCGACTGAAAATCATTCAATTTCAATGATTTCAGGCTTAAAAAATGACCCAAATTCTTTCTTTTCTCATAGTTCAATGTCTCACATTTTAGATTTAGCTTCAAAATTTGAAAATTGCGCAAAAAAAAAGTTTGGCGCCAAAATTTTCTAATCTCTCTAAAATCCTTGAAAAGTTCTCAATTTGAATGATCTTAGACTCAAAATGTAGCAAATTTTCTCCCATTTCAAAAAACATACCTGAATAATATTCTTCCTGTCCTCCTCCATGCTCTTCTGAACGCTTTCCTGATCCTTTGCCGTCTGCACAGCCATTGTCATCTTGGACAAATCGACGCGGACCTTTTTGTTCGAGTAGCCCATGTTGAGCACCAGGTCCGCGTTCATTGAAACCTTGTCAGCATCCTTGACGTCTTCTGCTCCCTTGATTTTCAGCACTTGATTCTTGACCAGGGATCCCAATACCATCTGGGTAGTCTTCGTATCCAGTCCAGTGGCCTCTTGGATCTTCTCCGCCGAGTATTCGAGTTGCTCGTTGAAGAGCAAGAGTGTGCACATCTGTGTCGTGGTGGCCTGAAAAATAGAAGAAATTGAGGTCTGGGAGTTGAAATTTGAAATTTTTAGGTCAAAACTAAGATTTCTAGGGTACAAATTGTCAGGAGCGGTTTAAAAACGTCTGGTTGCCAAACAACCGGTTCTAAACATGGTTCCTGGACCAAAATTTTTGCTCGAAGCCGTTCAGTAGCCGACTTGACCCCCTAGGACCCCAAAAACTCACTTCTAAATCTAAATTTTTTATGAAAAACTCATTTTTTACATTTTCACATTGCTCAGAGTGCTTTAAAACCTAGAAATTCGTGTTTTTCAACCCTAGAAAACACTAGAACGGCTATCTGGCTGCTCAAAGCCAGCCAACCGCTCAGTTGACCCCCCAAGACCCAAAAATCCCATTTCTAGAATTAAGCATTTTATAAGAAATGCGTTTTTTTTTACATTTTCGACATGCTCAGCGAGCTCCGAAATCTAAAAAATCGCATTTTTCCCCAGACGGCGCTAGAACGGCTAACTGGTTGTCCACAACCGTCTAGCTACTCAATTGACCCCCTAAGATACCCTAGCACCCCAAAAACTCATTTAAAAGACCAAAACTTTATGGAAAACTCATTTTTCTAATTATGAATTTGCTCAGAGCGCTTTAAAATTCAGAAATTCGTGATTTTGAACTTCAGAAACCACTAGAACGGTTATCTGGCTACATATAGCCATCTAGCTGTTCATAGGACCACACTTGACCGCTTAGGACCCAAAAATCCCATTTCTAGATTCAAATTTTAAAAATAAACTTGTTTTTCTAAGTGTCAACTTATTCAGAGCATTCAGAATTTGTCAAAAATCGCTATTTTCAGCCTAAACTGTCCTTAGAACCCCTCCCACCCATCTAGCATCATCCCTACTCCAAGTTTTCCAACCTATCCTATTTTCCGGACCCCAGGACCCATTTCAGGGTCGAAATTTGAAATTAAACTCAATTTTCAGCCCTTTGAAGGTCCCCGAAAACCCCGAAAACTCACCCCAAACACATATTTCTTTCCCTTGAAGGCTGTCGATGTGATCTCCCCTCGACTCTGGTTGTAGATCCAGGAGAGCTTCCTTCCCGTGAACTTTGTGTTGTAGAACGCGGTGAATCCTTCGACCGTGGTGGACAAATCTCTTGGCAAGTTGAGATTGACGAGCATCATACTCGGCCAAGTACCAGTGCTCAACACCTGGATCCCGAACTCGATGCTCTTTTTGCTTCTCGAGCTCTCCAACTGCTGATCCTTGAATCCCGACGACAGATCCTTGGAGACCTGGGTGTCCTGGACCATTTTCGCCAGCCGCGAGGTGTACTCGAATCCGCAGCACTCGGTGAGCTTCGAGATGAACGAAGATTCCGCTTCGTCGGACGCCGACTGCTCGTTGAGAAGACGTTTGCTGAAGTGCTTCGTGTAGAACTTCATGAAGATGTCCTTGTCCTCGAGGTACTTGAAGATTGTGATCTGGAAAATAGATTTCTACTTTTAGCCGTTTTTAGAGCCGTTTTTGAGCCGTTTTAGCCTAAAAATTGGCTCAAAATGACCCAATTTAGTCAGAAACAGTTAGAAACGCTTGGGACCATTTTGAGCCGTTTTTGAGCCGTTCTTGAGCCGTTTCAGCCTGAAAATTTGTTCGAAATGGCCCGATTTGGTCAGAAACCGTTAAAAGCGATTTGGACCATTTTGAGCCGCTTTTGAGCCGTTTTTCAATTGTTTTTAGGCTGTTTTACCCAAAAATGACTCAAATTTCATAATTGTTGATTTCGAATCATTTTGAAGCCAATTTCAGTCGTTTTTGGTTTGAAATCAGTGTAAAAAAGAGCCCAAACTCAACCAAGCGGCCAGAAAACGGCCCAAAATGATCCGAATCGGTCAGAAACGCTTTGAAATCATATTTGAATGTTTTTGAGCCATTTCTGCCCGAATTGATCACAATTAGGGTCAAAAGGGTCAGAATCCAAAGAAAATAGCTTTGAAATGGTCAAAAAGCCTTTAATGACGTTGAAATTTGCTCCAAAATACCTAAAAAATGGCTTAAAATGGTCTAAATTGGTCAGACAACAACTATTTAGAGCGTTTTCGGTCCAAATTAGTACTAATAGGTCCCAAAGTAGTCAAAAATTGTTTCTAGCGTACAAACTTGCCCCAGTACGCCTAAAAATTGGTTCAAAATGGTTTAAATTGGTCAGAGGCACTCAAAATATATTTTAGATGATTTTTGACCCTTTTTTGGGCCGCTTTTGTCCCGTTTTAGCCCAAAATGGTCCAAAGTCGATTTTCATTAATTTCAGACTATTTTGAAGCCTTTTTAGCCGTTCTGAGCCATTTTCTTGGTTAAAAAATCCCCCAAAAACTCACCACATTCTTCTGCAACACATCCATCTCCATCTCATCGGGCATCTTCGAGTTCTTCTTCATCAACAAGTCACAGTATCTCGCAATGAGCTCCGGCGATTTGAGCACTCGAGTTTCTGGAGCCTTCTCGGTCACTGCATTTCTATTGATGAAGGCGATAGCGGCAGTGTCCAACGACTTCACAAATCCAACTTCTTTGGAGAATGACCTCTCGACGAGTCCTTGATACCTCTGGTGGACCTCAAGAATCGTGTGTACATAGATTTTGGGGTCTTGAAGCGCTTCTTGACATCTCTGCTCCAGAGCCTCTCTTCCGACCTTGGTGACGTAGTCCTGGAGGGCTTGACGAAGAGCTTCGAGCCCTTTTTCCACTCGGAGGCACAATTGGTACATTCTTCCGATATCATCGTCTGCTTGCTCGACTAGCAAAGTTCCAAAGTGGCTTTGAATGAAGCCCAGCTGCTTTGTAACTATTATCTCCTCACAGACATCCTTCAGTGGTCCCATGGTAGATCTATTGAGGCAGAGCTCTACTCGAAGCTCCTCTTCACGAAGTCGCCTCTCAAATTTCTCCATATATTCCTTGCAATTCTCCACAAGTTGGCAGGTATGGGTCTGAAGGAAGTCCTGAACCTCCTGGGTGTAGAAAACTCTTGTAGTTTCCAAGAAAGGCGTCTCAAAGGCAGATCTGTACACTGATAGAGTCTTGGGCGCCGCTGATCCGGCTTTCGCGGGTTCCGTCTTGTCGTGGCCAATTTCTTCAAGGGATCTTAATGTGGTAGAGATAAGATTCCGATTGATCATTCCTCCGGTCCTCTCGATGCGTACCAACTCTAACAGAGCATCTCTGAGCTTATCCTTGATCTTCTCAAAGAGCGCCTCCCTCCAGGCAACCAATCCAAGGGTGTAAACCATATAGGATCCTTCACGACCCTCGTCAAACTCTCGGCGGACCCAATGGCGATTTAAATAGGCAAAAATGCCATCCACCACCTTCATGGCAAAGCTAAAAAGCTCCCATTTGGTGGAGTAGTACTGTAGAAGAGGCTCGCCAGAGAGATCGACACAACCATATAGCAAATCGCAGACCACACGGACTATGTAGGACTTGACACGATCGTAGAGCATTTTTCCGCGTGCCGTTGCAATGTCGCCGCCACCGTAGTCATGGAACTCCGAGATGGTGTTGATGACGTTGAGATCTGTGCAGAAGTCGAAGCAGATTCTGAAAAATAGTAGTTTTTATTCTTTGAAACTTGAAAAATTAAATTTGCCACATCGAGAGCTTTGAAATAAACTCCATAATGACCTATCTAGCTCACTTTTAAGTTTTGGAGCAATTTTCGTGCTCCGCGAGCCCGGAAATCGCTCCAAATTTCAAAAATGAGCTAGATACAGCAATATGGGTATCAAATGAAAGCTCAGGAATATCAGTGCCTCAAATCCGGTTAGAAATTTTCAGAAAATCGATTTTCGAGCAAAATAGGACTTATGCTCTTTTTGCTCCAAAATTCTCCATATTTCCCATATGACCTAGATATGGCAATATGGGGCTTATTTTGAAGCTCTGGGGCTAAGAAGCCTAGATTCCTTGAAAATTTGCACAAATATCGAAACTGGAGCAAAACAGGACCTATGCTCTTTTTGCTCCAAAATGCTCCAAATTTCGAAAATGAGCTAGATATAGCAATATGGGTACCAAATGAAAGCTTATGAGCTCTGGACCTCAAGACCGGTCCAAAATTTTCAAAAAACTTCGATTTTGAGCAAAATAGGCTTTGTGCTCTTTTTGCTAGAAAATGCTCCAAATTTCAAAAATGAGCTAGATGCAGCAATATGAGTACCAAATAAAAGCTTAAGAGCTCTGGACCTCAAGACCGGTTCAAAATTTTCAAAAAATTTCGATTTTGAGCAAAATAGGCTTTGTGCTCTTTTTGCTCCAAAATGCTCCAAATTTCGAAAGTGAGCTAGATATAGCAATATGGGTACCAAATGAAAGCTTATGAGCTCAGAATTACGAATCCGGACAAAATTTCCAAAAACTTCAAAATTTGAGCCAAATAGGACCTATGCTATTTTCGCTCCAAAATGCTCCAAATCTTAAAAATAAGCTAGGTAGGTCAAGACGGAAATCAAATTAGAGCTTAGAAGCTCAGGACCTCAATTCCGTTCGAAAAATCCTACAAAAACCAATTCTGAGCAAACTAGGGCTCATTTGTGCTCCATATTTGGAAAAATTCAAAATGCACAAAAATGTGTCGTGTTTGGGCTCATTTTGAAGCTGAAAATTTGAGGAGTCCAAAATCCTTATTTACAAGTTGAAACTATGATTTCTGAGCTGATTTTTGTCTTAAAATACCCGATTTTTAGCCAATTTTCAGCCTAAAAACCCTCACATCCAGCCAAAACTCACTTATAATAATCCAAATACTCTCTGGCACCCAGTTCCTGATGTTTGAAAATGGAATTCAATCCCAATTCAAGCTTCATCCACGTGTCTTCGATCTTCATTGTTCTTGCTGGAATCCACTCGTTGGCTCCGCCCACTTTTAGTACTTTTGCCGGCGTCGACAGTCTGAAAATTGGCAGAGTTTTGGAAGGAAAAATAGAGGAACATAGAGAGAGAGAGAGAGAGAGAAAGGGATGGAAAAATCGAGAGAAATAGTTTATAAAATAGCCCAAAATTCACTTAAAATAGCCCAAAATAACCTAAAAATGACGCAAAATTGACTTAAAATAGCTTAAAATAAGCATAAATTGACTTAAAATATCTCAAAATTGACTTAAAATATCTCAAAATTGACTTAAAATAGCTAAAAATTGGCTTAAAATGACTTAAGGTATACCAAAATTGAACTGAATTTGTTTAAAAATGGTCCAAAATGCCTGAAAGTAGCCTAGAATACCTTAAAATGCCTAAAAATTGTCAAAAAACGGCCAAAAAATCAATAGAAAATGTTCAAATTTTGAAAAATCAATAAAAAAGACCCAAAACAGAACCAAAAAAGAAAGGAAGACAAGGAATAAATGGCTGATGGACCGCTCTTCTTCTCCCTCTTCCCCCATTTCCCGCCCAAAATTAGGCCCCGCCCACTTTTGGGTCCCGCTGCGCGCGAAGGAGGGGTCCATTTGTGTTCTGGGAAAGGAAGAGACGAGAGAGTATTGGAAAAGAGGAGAGTGTTAGAGAGAAAGGACAAATCGAACGGTTTGGTTATTGGGGGGTAAAATCGATAGATATCGATTTTGTTTGGCGGGAAGTTTTGAAAAAAAAAAGTTTTAAATTGTTGAAATGCTGAATTGCGATTTCCATGAACGAAAAAAGCCTATCACTACAGTAATCCTTTGACCTCAAAAATGATTAAACATCGTTCAAAATTGGCTTAAAAAATGCAAAATAGAGCTAAAACAGTCCAAAATCCGCCTAAAATAGTCCAGAATTTGCCAAAATTGGTTCGATGTTACCATCGAAAATTTCAAAATTGTGCTGAAATAGTCCAAATTTAGCCTAAAATAGTCTAAAATTATCCTGAAATAGTAAAAAAAAATCATCCCATACCATTCCAAAAAGGTCTGGGACAAAATCAGTCCAAAAAGATCCAAAAATTAGTCTAAAATAGTCCAAAGTTTGCACTCAAAAATCCCGAAATTGACTCGAAATAGTCCACAAATTAGCCTAAAATACTCCAAAATCAGCCAAAAATGGTTCGAATTTTGGACCCAAGTATACCCAATTTTTAGGCTCAAAACTATGAGATTTTTGTCTTAAAATGACTGGAAATGGAGGGAAATTGAAAAGAAAATCAAGAAGAAAAAAAAAACGAAAAAAATGAGAGAAATTTTGAAAATAATGACAAAATAAAAACGCTGAAAGGTGGATCAAAAATTAGAAAAGAACAGAATGAGTAGATCAAAAACAATTTTTTGTAATTTTTCAAAATTTCAGAAACTTACTGAATTAAAAAAAAAATTATTTATTTTTTTTTTCATGGATTTTGGGCTATTTTTCATGGAATTTAAGCCATTTTTCATAAATTTTGGGCTATTTTTCATGGAATTTAAGCCATTTTTCATGGATTTTGGGCTATTTTTCATGGAATTTAAGCCATTTTTCATAAATTTTGGGCTATTTTTCATGGAATTTTGAGCCATTTTTCATGGAATTTAAGCCATTTTTCATGGATTTTGGACTATTTTTCATGGAATTTAAGCCATTTTTCATGGATTTTGGGCTATTTTTCATGGAATTTAAGCCATTTTTCATGGAATTTAAGCCATTTTTCATGGATTTTGGACTATTTTTCATGGAATTTTGAGCCATTTTTCATAAATTTTGGGCTATTTTTCATGGAATTTAAGCCATTTTTCATGGAATTTAAGCCATTTTTCATGGATTTTGGACCATTTTTCATGGAATTTAAGCCATTTTTCATGGAATTTAAGCCATTTTTCATGGATTTTGGACTATTTTTCATGGAATTTAAGCCATTTTTCATAAATTTTGGGCTATTTTTCATGGAATTTAAGCCATTTTTCATAAATTTTGGGCTATTTTTCATGGAATTTAAGCCATTTTTCATAAATTTTGGGCTATTTTTCATGGAATTTAAGCCATTTTTCATGGATTTTGGACCATTTTTTCATGGATTTGGGCTTCCCGACTTCATAAACACTGATTTTTAGACTCAAATATAAAACTTTCGGCTTAAAAATATAGACTTCTGGCTTCCTAAATAGTTTAAGGCTTCAAATGATGAATTTTGGACATTAAATTCATAATTTTCTGGTCCCAAAATCATGAAAATATCCGAAAATATTTATTTTGGACCTAAAATTAGTAAATCAAACTTTAAAATTACTGATTTTGACTCCGAAAATAGCATATTTTGGGCATAAATCTTTATACTCATGATTTTAAACCCGAAATACTTATTTTCAGGTAAAACTCGTGATTTTCCAAACAAAAATGTTGATTTAACACTTTAAAAACGGATTTTCCCAGAAGAGGGTCCATGGAGGGTCCACATAGCGGGCCCTGCGCGTTGCAACGTGGCAGAGTAGCTAGAGGACGACATGACAAGTGATGATTTACGAGAAAAGGGGAGATTAGAGGACCAATTAGACCAGAAAATAATTTTTTTTTCGAAATTTGAAAGTTTCAAAAATATAGAAATCCAGGAAATTCAAAAAACAAAAAATTTCGAAAAATTGGAATTTATCCTTTTTCACGAATTCTGGACCATTTTTCATGGATTTTGGACCATTTTTCATGGATTTTGGACCATTTTTCATCGGTTTTGGACCATTTTTCATGGATTTCGGACCATTTTTCATATATTTTGGACCATTTTTCATCGATTTTGGACCATTTTTTATGGATTTTGAGCCATTTGCCATAGATTTGAGACCATTTTTCATGAATTTGGGACTATTTTTCATGAATTTGGGACTATTTTTCATGGATTTTGGACCATTTTTCATGGATTTTGAATCATTTGCCATGGATTTGAGACCATTTTTCATGAATTTTGGAGCATTTTTCATAAATTTTGGACTATTTTTCATGGATTTTGGACCATTTTTCATCGATTTTGGACCATTTTTATGGATTTTGAGTCATTTGCCATGGATTTGAGACCATTTTTCATAAACTTTGGACTATTTTTCATGGATTTTGGACCATTTTTTATGAATCTGGGGTTATTTTTCTAAATATTGGGACCATTTTTCATGGATTTGGGACCATTTTTCATAAATTTTGGACTATTTTTCATGGATTTTGGACCATTTTTCATCGATTTTGGACCATTTTTTATGGATTTTGAGCCATTTGCCATAGATTTGAGACCATTTTTCATGAATTTGGGACTATTTTTCATGAATTTTGGACCATTTTTTATGAATCTGGGGTTATTTTTCTAAATATTGGGACCATTTTTCATGGATTTGGGACCATTTTTCATAAATTTTGGACTATTTTTCATGGATTTTGGACCATTTTTCATCGATTTTGGACCATTTTTTATGGATTTTGAGCCATTTGCCATAGATTTGAGACCATTTTTCATGAATTTGGGACTATTTTTCATGAATTTGGGACTATTTTTCATGGATTTTGGACCATTTTTCATCGATTTTGGACCATTTTTTATGGATTTTGAGCCATTTGCCATAAATTTGAGACCATTTTTCATGAATTTGGGACTATTTTTCATGAATTTGGGACTATTTTTCATGGATTTTGGACCATTTTTCATGGATTTTGAATCATTTGTCATGGATTTGAGACCATTTTTCATGAATTTTGGACCATTTTTCATGGATTTGGGACTATTTTTCATGAATTTTGGGTCATAAAAAACGGAATTTTTTTTTCAAAATTTGGAAGTTTCAAAAATATAGAAATCCAAAAAAAAAAATTTCGAAAATGTAATTTATCCTTTTTCACGAATTTCGGACTATTTTTTATGAACTTGGGGTCACTTTTCAAAATTTTGGACCATTTTCCAAAATGTTGGACCACCATATTTAATAAACCTTGGGGTCATTTTTTCTAAATTCCAAATTTTTCTATATGAAATTCCCTCGTCGCCTCAAGAAAAATTGCAAATGCGCTCTACCGCCGGCCTGTTGATTTTCAAAAAAAAAACAAATATTCAGGCCGTTTTTCTACCTTTTAATCAAATGAAAAAGTAGAACAAACCTATAGAATTTCAATTTAAAAAATTCAATAAAATTGAAAAATCCCAAAAATCGCAAAAACTCGGTTCAAAATCATCGAAAAATGAGGAAGAAACAGAGGAAAGAGAACAGTTAGAGACATAGCTATTTTTCTCTATCTCTGCTTCTCTAAATCTCCGTCTCTCGCTCTTTTCCCTCCAAATGTCACCGCGGGTGGCGTGCCAGTTGACCTCTTCTTCTTCTTCTTCTCTCTCTTTCTCTCTGCGTCTCCTCATTTTTCCTTATCTCTCTCTCTCGCTCCATGTGCCCAGCGCTGCCGTGGTGCGCTGCTCACTCCTTTTTCTCTGGCACTCTCTCACCCTGACACACTCTCTGGCGTGTTCTGCTTTTTGTTGACCAGCGGTCATCGGCTGCGTTTCTGGAACTTTCTGGAAATCAGAAAATCAGAACATTTGAGAAATTTCGAATTGTTTTTATACTGATGTTCTGAATTTCAGAAAATTTGAGGATTTGGAAAATTTTGGGAATTCTGAAATTCCAGGAATTTATGAATTTCTGAATTTCTGAATTTCTGAATTTCTGAATTTCTGAATTTCTGAATTTCTGAATTTCTGAATTTCTGAATTTCTGAATTTCTAAATTTCTGAATTTCTGAATTTCTGAATTTCTGAATTTCTGAATTTCTGAATTTCTGAATTTCGGAATTTCTGAATTTCTGAATTTCTGAATTTCTGAATTTCTGAATTTCTTGGAAATTTCCATTTTTTGAATTTTTGAGTTTTCGGAATATCTGAAAATTTCTGGAATTTCAGATTTTTCAACAACATCTAGAATTTTGACATTTTCAGGAATTTGTGATTCTTAAATTCCAAATTCCCTGGAATTTCCCAGAATTTCAGAATTCCTCAAAACTTATTTTTTGGGAATTTTCAAATTTTAAGACTTTAATATTTGAAAGTTCTAGAAAATCAATAATTTTAGAAATATAGAAAGTCAAATTTTTAAAAATCTAAATTTCAAGAGGATTTTGGCTCACTTTTCACTATTTTTCCCGTTTCGTTCAAAAATTTTCAGCCAATAATTTCCAGATCCCTCACCATTCTCAAATGCCATGGGTCCATTGGTCCCATCAATTGAAGAAATTCTCCATGGACTCGATGGTATGTATCGGAGGGAAAATATGGGTCCCGGACTATGGATGAGCCAGCATCAGTGAGTTTTTTTTTTTGAAAAATTGTTTTAGCCAAAAAATTTAAAAAATTTAAAAAATCTCAGTTTTCAGAATTTTTAACTTTTCAAAAACTCATTTTTGGCACTTTTAGACCTTATTTTAGTCTGAAAACTCATTTTCTGAGGTCCACACAAAAATAAAAAAGTTTTGACCCCAAGAGGAATCAAACTTTGACCTTGTGGACCATAAATTTTGGCGCCAAAATCCACTGAGCCATTTGGCACCCTTTTTTGTAAATCCGCTATTTTTGAGCGTTTTGGACCGTTTTTGATAGTTGCAATTATCAAAAATGGCTTTAAACCTTGTTTTTGGAAATATGAGCGTCAAAAACAGCATTTTTCCGAAAAAAAAAAAATTGGATTTTTTTTGGAAAAATAACAAAGTCGTTTTTTTGCATTTCTAGGCCTTTTCAAGTTCTTAAAACTAATTTTCTGAGGTCCACACTAAAATAAAAAAGCTTTGACCCCGGAAGGAATTGAACTTTGGTCTTGTGGACCATACAAATTTGGTGCCAAAACTCACTGAGCCTTTTGACCCACTTTTTTGAAAATCGCTATTTTTGAGCGTTTTGGACCGTTTTTCATAGTTTTGAATGTCAAAAAACGGTTTGAAACCCGTTTTTGTATCTAGAAACGGCAAAGACAACATTTTCCAGAAAAATTTATATTTGGATTTTTTTCGAAAAATAACAATGTCTCGTTTTTGGCATTTCTAGGCTTTTTCATAGCCTAAAAACTCATTTTCTGAGGTCCACACTAAAATAAAAAAACTTTGACCCTGGAAGGAATTGAACTTTGGCCTTGTGGACCATAAAATTTTGGTGCCAAAACCCACTGAGCCATTTGGAACACTTTTTTTAAAAAGTCATTTTTGAGGGTTTTGATCGTTTTTGATGGTTTTTGGGGTGGAAAATGCAGTTTTAGGCTGCTTTTCATGTGTAAAACCATCAAAAACGAGAATTTCCAGTGCAAAAAAACGTTTAGAAAAAAATAATAAATTTTCGAAAAATTCAATTTTGGGCAATTTGATGGATTTTGAGTTTTTTTTAAACTAATCTTTGCCCTGATTTCCACAAGGAAGTAATAAAATATTCCAGATTAATCTACAACTACTGCAATTCGACATCAATGACCACTCCATTGGCTCCGCCCACAATGATCCAAGCCGCGCCTCTCGAAAGTCCCCACAAGACATACATAGAAACTCCTTGTCATCGAATCTACTCAAAATTTGAGGATTATATAACAAATTATTGTGAAGAAGTCACCGAAAAACTATTGGAATTTAAAGCTGAGCAATTGCTCAGCGCCTACTGTAGGGAATGGTCCGATTATCGATTTTCCTCAAGTGTCATGCATTCCACAGCTGATTATTTGAACCGGCACTATCTTCAAGGATCCAAAGAAGTCAAATCGATGTTCCATATGACACTGGTGATCTGGCGAAAATCGATAATCGATTTTTTCCAAGATCGATTGGTTTCGGCGGTGTTGGAGGCGATTCAAGCGGAAAGAAAGGGTCAAAAATCAATAACCGATAATCGATTTATCGCTGAATTTTTGAGAAGTCTAGTGGAGATGGAAATTTATGAAGAACTGTTTGAAATCGATTTTTTGAAAGCTACCGAGGAATTTTATACCCGGGAAATTCAAAATTTGCTAAGTTCCAATGTCTCCGGCAAGGAATACCTTCAAAAAATCAATCGGAGAATTCAAGAAGAGCAAATTAGGGTCCAGCTATGTCTTCATGGATCCACATGGACCCCGCTGAGCAATCTACTGCTCCAAACCATGGTCTGGGACCAGCTGAACTTCATTCATTCGAATTTTGATGTCCTACTAGATGCTCAAGCAGATTTGGAGCTCAAAATTATGTATGACTTGTGCTCAAAGGTCCCTGGCAGCCTTAAGGGTCTCTATGGGGCCCTGGAGACCTATATAAACAAATACGCTGAAGACTCTTTGACCCCCCTGGACCCCCGGGACCATCAGACCTATGTCAGGACCCTCCTCAACATTATTGATCGATTTCAGTCGATTATCGATCGATCATTCTCCATGGACCCTCATTTTTTGAAGTCTCTAGACACCGCGGCCATGAAATTTGTCAATGAGAATCCAGTGATTTCAAAATTCCCGAAAAAACAGAGGTCCATGAAATCGGCGGATTTGGTGGCGAAGTTTTGTGATGGGATGATGAGAAAAGGGACCAGAATTGATGGGGATTTGGAGATGGAGGAGACGCAGAGAAAAACAGCGAGTTTTGAAGCTTTTTTAGCTAAAAATAGCCCAAAATTTGCTGAAAAGGGCCCAAAAAAGCTTAAGATAAGTTAGGACTAAAATTAGCCCTGAATATCCCCAATATTAGTCTGAAAGCGGATTTAAGCAAGTAAAAAAGTGCTCCAAAATACCTTAAAATATTTTAAAATAGTCCCAAACCATCGAAAACGACCAAAAACGCTCAAAAATAGCGATTTTTCAAAAAGTGTGTCAAGTGGCTCAGTGGGTTTTGGCACCAAAAATTTAAGGTCCACAAGGCCAAAGTTCGATTCTTTTCGGGGTCAAAACTTTTTTATTTTTGTGTGGACCTGGAAAAATTAGTTTTTAAACTGTGAAAAAAGCTAGAAAAGCTGAAAATGAGATTTTGAACATTTCAAAAGTCGAAAAAAACCAAAATTTTTTTTTGGAAATTGCAGTTTTTGCTGTTTTCAGTGCAAAAATCGGTTTCAATTCATTTTTTGACCTCTGAAACCATCAAAAACGATCAAAAACGCTCAAAAGTAGCATTTTTCAAAAAGTGTGCCAGATGGCTCAGTGGGTTTTGGCGCCGAAATTTCAAGGACCACAAGGCAAAAGTTCAATTCCTTCTTGGGTTAATACTTTTTTATTTTTGTGTGGACCTAGAAAAATTAGTTTTTAGGCTATGAAAAGGCCTAGAAATGCCAAAATCTCGATTTCAAAAATTTGAAAATTGAAAAAAAAAATTTTCTAAATTTTCACTTTCTAGCTATTTTTAAGCTCTAAAATCAAGTTTTCCAAGGTCCACACAAAAATAAAAAAGTTTTGCTCTCAGAAGGAATCGAACTTTGGCCTTGTGGACCATAAAATTTTATGCCAAAACCCACTGAGCCATCTGACACACTTTTTTGAAAATCGCTATTTTTGAGCGTTTTTGAGCGTTTTTGATGGATATAGTGTTGGAAATGAGTTGAAAGTTGAAAGCGTTGTTCAAAAGCCGAAATGTGGTCGAAATTCGGTCCAAATTACTGTAAATTTCATTTCCGCTAGTACCCCCAATTTCAAGTCAATTTTGAGGCAATTTTTCCCAATTTTGAGTAATTTTAAGCAAATTTTGAGGCTGTTTCAGTCGATTTCAAAGTAATTTTCATAAAAAAAGTTTGTTTCAGATCAAACTACTGGCTTATCTAAACGACAAGGACATATTTATCAAGATCTTCACAAAATATTTTGCCCGACGGCTCATCAATGGACAATCGGCGTCCGAGGAAGCCGAGACGAACTTTATAGCCAAGCTCACAGAGGCTTTTGGATGTGAATACACTTTTCGACTCACTAAAATGGTCCAGGACACACAAGTCTCAAAGGATCTGTCCTCCGAATTCAAGGATCAACGATCGAAAGCTTCCAGAGCCACCAAAATTGAATTCGGGATCCAAGTGTTGAGCACTGGCACCTGGCCCAGTTTCCAGCTCATCAATCTCAACTTGCCAAGGGATTTGACGACTACTGCAGAAAGGTTTTCTGAATTCTACATTAGAAAATTCTCGGGAAGGAAGCTCTCATGGGTCCACACTCAAAGCCGTGGGGAGATCACATCGACGGCGTTCAAAAAGAAGAAATATGTATTTGGGGTGAGTTTTTGGGGTTTGGAAATGCTGGAAATTGAATTTAACTCGAAATTGTGACCCTGGAGTGGGTTTTGGAGTCCTAAGGACAGTTTAGGTTGAAAAATTGAAGTTAGAGTGATCCTACAAAGACCCTGGAGGTGGTTGGGGCTAGAAATTACATTTTTCGATGTTTCAGATTGCTCCAAGTAGTTGAAAGTATGAAAAACAAGTTGAATTTAAAATTTTGACCCTATTAACGAAATTTGGGGTTCTAGGGGGTCAGGTTTGCGTGAGCAGCTAGATGACTTTGAGCCGCTCGAAAGCCGTTCTAGTGGTTTCTGAAGTTGAAAAGCACAAATTTTCAGATTTTAGAGCATTTAGAGCAGGTTTAAATTTGAAAAAACGGATTTTTCATCATAATTTTGCCCCTGGGACGAGTTTTGGGGTCCTAAGTTATAATTAGGATGATGCTAGATGGGTAGGAGAGGTCCTAGGGAGAGTTTAGACTGAAAATTGCGAATTTTGACAACTTAGAATGCTCCAAACAAGTTAAAACCTAAAAAACCGGGTTTATTTGAAATTATGGCCCTAGAAATGATTTTTGGGCCCCTTGGGTGGTCCTGTGGGGTCAGTTGAGCTGCTGGATGGCTTTGAACCGCCGGATAGCCGTTCTAGGGGTTCCTGGGATTAAAAAACACGAATTTCTAGGTTTAGGAGCATTCTAAGCAAGTTGAAACCAAGGAAAATATGTTTATGCTAATATTTTGATCCTGAAATTGGATTTTAAGATCCTCGGGCTTAGCTGATATGATTCTAGACGGGTGGGAGGGGTCCTAAAAGTAGTTTAGGTTGAAAATGTGGCTTTCCAAGTTGTGAAGTGCTCCAAATGAGTTGAAATGTACAAAAACAGGTTGAAATAGTACATTTTTATCTTAGAAATAGGGCCTTCGCGGTCCTAATGGGTCTGATGGGCAATTGGCTGGCGTTGAGCAGCCGGATAACCGTTCTAGTGGTTTCTGTGGTCGAAAAACACGAATTTCTAGGTTTAGGAGCATTCTGAGTAATTTGAAAATGTGAAAAATGAGTTTTTTTTCATAAAATTGTGCTTCTAGAAAATGGTCTAGCTTTTCATCTAATTAAGAATTTTGCCACCAAAACCCTTTCCACCAAATTTTGACCTATAATCTGCGTCTAGATGTTTCTAGCGCCTAAAAAAGCAATTTTCTAAGTTTCAGAGCTCTCTGAGCAACTTCAAATAGCTAAAAATAAGTTTTTCATCAAATTTTAGTGTATATATCTAAACTTCGAGATCTTCAGAACTTGGTTTTGAATTGCTAACAAATCCTTGGTTTTTGGTGGTAAATCCAAAATTTGGATATTTTTAGGTTTTCAGGCAGCCTGGGGTAGCTGAAATTATGAAAAATGAGTTTTGCTTGAAATTTTGGTCTAGAAACTCACTTTAGAACTAGTGATTTCACATTTTTTACCGTTTTTGACGATATAAGAAGGAGCGATTTTCAAAATTTTCAATTTTCATCCCAAATCACTTCGATTTCCAAAATTTCTTATCATCTTATCATTTCTTATCATTTATCAGTAGTTTAGTATTTTTCTGTGACGAATTACAGAAGTTTAGACCATTTTTTGTTAATTCCTTCGAGAATTAAAAATTTTGAAAATCGCTACTTCTTATATTAACCCTAGAAATCCTGATTTTTGACCTAAAAATCTTAATATTAGACCCGCGGACCTCAATTTTCCCCAATTTTCAGGTAACCACACCTCAAATGGTCATAATGCTGCTCTTCAATGAGCAACTACAGTATTCCCTCGATACAATCCGAGAAGCTTCTGGAATGGACCAAAAGAGCACCCAACTGGTGCTGGGATCACTTGCCAATAGTGGAATTCTGAAAATTGGGGATTCTGAAGGAGAAGTGCATCTGAATTTGGATTATTCTAATAAAAAAGTGCGGGTGGACTTGTCAAGGATTACTGTAATACTCAGGAGACCAGGGAAACGGAGGCAGTTCAAAAAGTGGTTGATGAGAATCGAACGTTCATTATCTCGGTGAGTTTTTGTTTTGGAAATAGAGATTTTGAACTTTAAATTGTGGTTTTTTACTGAAAATTGGGAAAAATAGCCCAAAATACGACGAAAATGACCAGACTTGAAAGTTTTCGAAATTTCTCAAAATTTCTTTTTTTTTGGCATTTTTCGGTTTGAAACTTGACAATTTTGACATTTCTAGACAGCAAAAACACCTGAAAAACATATTTTCCCAATGAAAACGCTCCAAAACGATCAAAATTGACATTTTTCGAAAAAGTGTGCCAAATGGCTCAGTGGGTATTGGCACCGAAATTTTATGGTCCAAAAGGCCAAAGTTCAATTCCTTCTTGGGTTAAAACTTTTTTATTTTTGTGTGGACCTAGAAAAATTTGTTTTTAGGCTACGAAAAGGCCTAGAAAGGCAAAAAATTATATTTTGAAAATTTTGAAAACTAAAAAAATGTTTTTTCATAATTTTTATTTTCTAGCTATCTTCAAGCTCTGAAAACTAGTTTTCCAATGTCCACACAAAAATAAAAAAAGTTTTGACCCCGGAAGGAATCGAACTTTGGCCTTGTGGACTATAAATTTTCAGTGCCAAAACCCACTGAGCCATTTGGCCCACTTTTTTGAAAATCGTCATTTTTTAGCGTTTTGGACCGTTTTTGATGGTTTCGAATATCAAAAATGGTTTAAACCTTGTTTTTGGACATATAAGCGTCAAAAACATTTCATTTTTCCGTAAAAACATTTTTTGGATTTTTTCGAAAAATTGTAAATTTTCGTTTTTTGCCTTTCTAGGCGTTTTCATAGCATAAAAACTAGTTTTCCAATGTCCACACAAAAATTAAAAAAGTTTTGACCCCGGAAGGAATCGAACTTTGGCCTTGTGGACCATAAAATTTCAGTGCCAAAACCCACTGAGCCATTTGTCCCATTTTTTTGGAAATCGCCATTTTTGAGCGTATTGGACTGTTTTTGATAGTTTCCAAGGTCAAAAAGAAGTTTAGAGTCGTTTTTCATGTCAAAAAAGCTTAAAATCAAAGATTTTCAGAAGAAAACTGGAAAATTAAAGAGAAAATGGAATTTTAAGCCCAAAATGTGAATTTCAAGCCAAATTTATGATTTTTGAATCTCAAAAAATGATTTTCAGGCTGCCATCGTGCGAATCATGAAAATGCGGAAACAATCGACACATCAAAACTTAATGACCGAGTTAATTGACCAATTAAAGACGAGGTTCAAGCCAAAAGTGGAACTGATCAAAAAGTGTATTGGAATGATGATTGAGAAGGAATATATCAGAAGGAATAAGGATGATAGGGATATTTATGAGTATATGGCTTGAAATCAGTAGTACAGTAATCCAAACTTTTTATGTAGCTTTTTTTCTCATAGGAATCGGGTTGTTGTTGTTTTTTTTTTAATATTAAAAATGAATTTTTTTTTCTTTTTTTCAGGTTTTCTTCAGTGGCCTAACTTTTGAAAGTTTGGTTATTTAGGCCACCACTTCAAAATGACCTAGAAAACACACCAGGGTCATGTTAGGGCATTTTAGGCCATATTGAAGTGGTGGCCTAAATAACCAAACTGGCAAAAGTTAGGC